ATATACAGACGGACTCCTTTTCCTATTTGGAACCAGTCTGTTGTTCCATGTCCAGTTCTAACTGTTGCTTCTTCACCTGCATATAGGTTTCTCAATAGGTAGATCAGGTGGTCTGGTATTCCCATCTCTTGAAGAATTTTCCACATCTTGTGTTTAGATAGCTACTTTAATCTAGCTTAACCAATAATAAGAGCTTATTACCCCCATACATACCCTTCCAAATAGGAAGGGCAGCACTTTAGGAACTGACTCAGCTGTGCAGTTATGTCCTCAAGGACCCAGTTTCTTTTTATTTCTCTGTTGCACCTTTTATGGTGGTGGCTTCATTCTAAGACTGGTTCCACCTCATGGTCACATGATGGCTGCCAAGAATACTCAGGAAAAAAATACATAATTTCCTTTTACACATCTAGAGTGACTCCCTTTTAGTAGTGACCTCAGAAAAATGTATTTACACACACAGAAAAAATATGTTTACATCTCCATATACCCAGCAAACCTCTCCAGCAGTCTCACTGGGGTTGAATTTAGGTAACATGTCCACTCTTGAACCAGTTCTCATGGTCTGTGAAATGCCATGTGTCAGCTGGCAGCATGTGTCAGCAAAAGGCAGTTGTCCTGATCAGTTTGAAGCATGTAAGGCCTACCTGTTGCTGAGACAGTCAGCATATTGGCTGTAATGGGGAAGGGTCATGCTGAATAAAATCTGAGTATTGTTAGGAAGATGGGATTTCCAGGTGACTAGGTAGTAAAGAATCCACCTGCCAGTGTAGGAGACACTGGGGACACAGGTTCAATTCCTGGGTTAGAAAGATACCCTGATGTAGGAAATGGCAACCCACTCCAGTATTCTTGCTTGGAGAATCCCACGGACAGAGGAGCCTGGCAGGCTACAGTCCATAGGGTCGCAGAGTTGGACACAACTGAGCGACTGAGCATGCACACACTATTAGGAAGGGGGAACGAGTTGATTACTAAGAGTGTCTACTCATGCACTGAGCCGTCATGCAGATTGAATGAATACTGTGCGAGGATGCCTTGCTTTTTCTTCCTTAGAAGGTTCTTGGAGGTAGAGCTCTAGAAGAGCTGTGGGAGAGAAGAAAGGCAGATGGGGGTGGAGGGAGGTGAGGAAGCAAAAAATTTGGGTGAAGGATCCAAGAACTAAATGGAAGAGAGAAGAGCTGGATGGGAATAGAGCTGAGGCATGGATATAACCAGAGCATGCCTGTCTGAATTCTCAATAGAAATTGAGAGTAAATATTCCTCTGGTGCCTTCCAAGTTCCCCTTTCCCCAGAGCTGATTAGGGCCTAATTGGTTCATCTCTGTACCTGTCTGTGTTTAAAAATGTTCAGTTGCTCCCAGCTGTTATGTCAGGCTAGAGACATTTGCCTCACCCTGGAATTTCACTGAGTACAGCCTGTGTTTGGCCTCATTTCTAACTATTGCCATATTACAATTTATCCAAATCTGTCCATACAAATCCAACCAAACTGGACTTTAGGTTGCTTCACAATGCCCCCTACACCAGCTTTCCTGCCTGCCTTAGTGCAGGTTTTTCCTATGCTGTGAATATTGGTCTACCACCATTCCTGGCTGAATCTCTCATCTTGAAAGCCAATTTCAAATGATTGTTCCCTGAAGGAACCTTCACTAGTCCTTCCACGCTCATGTACTCACTCCTTCCTCACTACTGCTGTGCTGTTAGCCTTTGCTACTAGGGTCGCCTGCTCTAAACTGTCAGATTCTTGAGGACAGCGAAGCTCTCCTCCTCCATCCATGTTCATTCTTTTGTTGTTGTTCAGTTCCTAAGTCATATCTGACTCTGCAACCCCATGGACTGTACCACGCCAGGCTTCCCTGTCCTTCACTCTCTCGAGTTTGCTCAAACTCATGTCCAGTGAGTCAGTAATGCCATCCAACCATCTCATCCTCTGATGCCCTCTTCTCCTCCTGCCCTCAGTTTTTCCCAGCATCAGGGTCTTTTCCAGTGAGTCAGTTCTTCGCATCAGGTGGCCAAAGTATTGGAGCTTCAGCTTCAGCATCAGTCCTTCCAGTGAATATTCAGGATTGATTTCCTTTAGGATTGACTGGTTTGATCTCCTTGCTGTCCAAGGGACTCTCAAGTCTTCTCCAGCACCACAATTCATTATTTGCTCATTTAAGAAGATATGGGTGTCTATTGCACACTAGTTGCTGTGCACTCAGAGGTGAGGGAGTCCTGAGTAAACACTGGTTGGGCTTAATGCTACTGGAGAGCTGATGGGATTCCAACTGGGGGACCAACTGCACTAATGAACTGATGTCCTCTCTGTTGATATGCCAAAACCTTTGCCTCAACGGGCCTTAAATGCATAGCAAGCATGCCAAAGTAAAGCAAAGAACTGAGACAACTTAATGAGACAAGCTTATAAATTGTTCAGGAAAAAAATAAGCCTTTGAAATTATTGAGTCATTTCAGTTTTTATTCCAGAGTCATACAAAGCACTATCATCTGTATTATTTAGAAGTGGCTTTCAAAACATTTTTGCCATGACTCATAGTATAAAAAAAAAATACCCTTTACATCAGAATCCAGGTCATATTCATTCATTCCTTTAAGTACTGACCACCTACTATATGCTAAATACTATTCTCAGCAGACTACAGTAGTAAACAGGTAGGAAGTAAGAACAAAAGCCCTTGCTCTCAAAGACCTTACATGCAGGTGGAGCATATGATAAAGTAAGTAAACTCACAAATGCACAGAAAAGGAAGATTCATGAACCAAAACCTCCTATGTACATGCCATATACTCTGATGTTTTCTATTAAAAAAGAAAAAAGCCGGTCACACCCCATTCAGCTATTTAGTTGGCCTCTCAATTTGGTAACGTATTGAGACCTGCACTCTGAAGAATACTGGTCTAGGTAATTTATGAATTAGGCAGTGTGTGTATTCTTCCCCTTTTACAGAGGAGACAGCGTGACAGGTAAGTCTTAAGGTTAAGTGGGTCAGCCACACTCACATGCAAGCCGAGGAAGCACCACGGGAGCCCACTACCGCCCTCCCCATCATCTGCTGCGGTCCTCCCAGCTGTTGCAGTCCCTACTTTGATGATGAAATCCTGAGCGCTGCCTGGAGCTGACCTCGCCCTGCCAGGGCAGATTGCAGTAGTAACTTCTAGGCCTGACTAGACTGCACGTGCTCAGGTTTCCCGCTCCCGGGCCACGCGCTGGACGCTGCTTCCTCGCTGCTGTATCAGAGTGGGCTCCCTGCACTGCGGCTTCTTTAAGAGCAGGTCTCAACTCACCCCTTCCCCTTAAACCACAGTGCTTTACAGGGCAGGCATTAGTGAATACACATGGAACTGAACTGGAGTTGTAAGGAAAGGCATGGAGGAAGTGCTTACTAGTCAGGACTGGAAGAGTCAGATGTTTAAAAAGGCAGTATCTATTTAAAGGGCTGAGACCAGAAAAGATACCACTGGGAAAAAGATCTTTTCACCCAGGTTATAAAAGTTACATGTTTGGTAGAAGCACCAATAATATAAAAACTATTCAATCCAAAAATGTTATCTCCCCAGCATCAGTAGATTTAGAATGATGCCAGTGGCTCAGGGATTGCACAGAAGTAACTTACATCAATTCAAGAAAATGAGGACAAGGAGGGCCAAGGCTGGCTGCGTGAGCCGGAGACAGGCAGAGGCAAAGGCCCGGGCGCTCGCCAGCGGTAGGAGAAAGGGCGCCTCTGCCGTAACGGGGACCGTTACAATGCGGACAGCTGCCAACTCACCCAGATGAGGCAACCAGTCCCAGTTCTCCACAGAGAGAATCTAAATGGCACAGCCCTATCTACAACTGCCCACTCCTGCTTCGTACAGTTTGGGTGAGATGGGGCTGAGTGCCTGGAACAAATGCCTAAGGGAAGGAAGGAGAATCTGTTCAAAAAGGGACATGAACTTTGTCTATTTCTTGACTCAAACTGTAACTTCCAGCTTAAAATCTCATCCTACCACCAGAGAGGATGGGGGCTTAAGGCCAAGATGAGGTCAGTTATGGAAAATACTATATCTGTGATACAGTATAAAACATAATTTCAATCCTATTAAAAGTAAAAAAAAAATACCATTAGCTAAATGACCTCTAAGGTTCAGGGACCTACATATGTATGGATTTTTAGATATCAAGAACACTGAATTCTCTAGGCCATGATTTTCAGACTTTATTTTGAATTAGAGACACTAATTCCGTAGGACTAAGGTCAGTTGTGGGGACTGCATATTTAAGTAAGCATCCTGGATTCTGTTTAAAGATGCATCATGTTGAGAAACTTGCTTGACCTAATTCTTTTCTCTTTAACAGAAAAGGGGCGCAACTTTGTTTCTGATTAGAGCAAAAATGGGCAATAAAACTGTTCAGGCGCACCATTTATGTAGTGACACTAAATAAGAGCATGTACAATATTTACAACTGTATTTCTTATTGTTTTTAATAGCATTTAGTCACATAATTTACAGCGGCATAGATTTATAAAAGGTATTTACGACTGGCAGGTAATTTACTCGCATCTCAGGTTTTCTTTTAAAATTGAGAATAGGCAAACTAGTTACCAGTTAAAGGATATTTTAGGATATGATGACTATAAACACAAAAGGTACACTGATATCAATTCTATAAACAGCAAATGTGAATGTAACTTAAGCCTACTGGTTCACATTTTTAAAAAGCACCCTCATTTGTTCATAAAGTACTTTAAATGGTTCTTGAAAGTCTACTGCAGACATGATATATTCAGTCCAACTAGTTTGGGAGGTGGGTTGTGTGACCACATCCACTTTGGGGTCTGATTCAGAATTAAAAATCAAACTGCCTTACACACAGATTATAGTCCTGAGCAGCAGCATCAGTTCCCAGATAATACAGCTTCCAGAGCTTTCATCATCCTGGTCATTCTCCTTTTTTTGCTTTCACTTATCTTTCTTTTAAAGAAACAAAATATATAAAAAAGTCCACCAAACTTCTGAAAGTCACGGTTTGTACAGCACTGAATGTTAGTGGCTTTGGCATCTGATGTTACCAAGTCACTTCCGTTACAAATATTTTCTTCATTCTGGGTCAAGGCGAGGTAAAACAGGAAGAATGAGATTCCCAAATGCAGAATCTTGAGTTATGAAGTATCCTGATGAATGTGCATGTGCATGCTAAGAAAGTTTAAAAAAAAAAAAAAGAAAAAAAGGCAATTTAGTTATTAAGAGTCACAGTTCTTCAACCAAGGCATTAAAATTACTTACCCTTTCCTAGTGCTTAAGACCAAATTTGTTTTAAAAGCCAGTTCTGCTGCTGCTAATTTTGTTTAAATACACAGAAGATCTACAATAATAAAGAATTCACATTAACAAGTTACACCAGGTACTAACTTATCCTCCCTACTCTCTTCCTTGTGGTTCTCATTAGTCAATCATTGAGTCAAAGACGTGAATTACTTTGTTCCTGGAAGTGGGGAGGAAAACTATCAACAAGGTCCCAGGGTGCTCTGCTCTTGGTCAATAAAGCAGGAGTGAGAAAGGGCAGAAGTTGGAAGGAGAAGGGGGAAGGCAGCTGATTACTGGTGATTAAGATGCCAACATTTTGTAGAGAATGCTGGAATGTAAATAACAAAACCACCAGTGATGTCCTTTGTCACTAAACAAAGGACTGTTTATACGTGGTCTAAAGGGAGATGATCTTTAATGTAATGTCCCTTGCAATTCTGAGATTCTAAGGCTTGAAAGCATCAGTAATGATGTCTTGTCCAGAATCTCTGAGAATCTTAAATTATCCAAGATCAATGAAATACCAAAACTGTTCATCACAGTCAATTTTTTTAAGATGATGGGTTGTCAGATTTCCATATTAAGAGTTAAGTCTTGCTCAGTCATGTCCAATTCTTTGCGACCCTACAGACTACAGCCTACCAGGCTCCTCTGTCCATGGGATTCTCCAGGCAAGAATGCTGGAATGGGTTGCCATGCCCTCCTCCAGAGGATCTTCCCAACTCAGGGATCAAACCTTTGTCTCTTATGTCTCCTGCATTGGCAGGTGGGTTCTTGACCACGAGCACCACCCAAAACAGATATGCTGACCATTAAAAAAAGAATCCAAGCAACAATAAATCAGTAAGACTGTCAAAGGACACAATGGCATGACCAATTTGAAAAATATATATGTACTATTAAACTAGCCAGCCAGTTCAACTTCTTGAGCTCATTCAGGCCGTCCAAATATCCTTTTGTGCACGAGCAGTCTCTTGCCAGGTGCAGCAAAGAGTCAATCATGACCACGTCAATGCCATAAAAGATACTTTCATTACTCCTGTAACACTTTCATTGGTCCTTCAAATCCTCTGGGCATGACTGAATGTCAGCAAACCACTGCAATTATGTACGGGACATTTTTACTGAGATTGCTCCACTGAAATACAAAATAAGAACTGTGCTGTTTTCCAAGCCCCAGGAAGTCTCCGGTGAGACAAGAATGTCAGTCACACTTTTCTCACCTGCAAAGCTGCCTTCTGCTGGGCTGCAATATGCTGCTGCTCAGCGTGGTCCCGGAAGTCCTTGTTGAGAGCGGGTCTCGAGAGCGCAATGCTAAAGTGGGAATCTTAGTTACTTGACTATTTAGAGACTCCTTTACGTCTGAATCACATTTTTCATTAGATATTCTATATAGGAATTATTTACAAAAAAAACCCCACAAACTTCCTGAATAAGTCTTTTTTCCTGTTTACATTAATTTATATGGAAATGCCCATATTATTTACTAGAGCTTCAGATTATCTCCTTTTTATCAAAGATTTTTGGTCTTCTGCTTTCAAACTGATTTGACGTACTCTGGTCTATCATAAAGTTACATTTATGATGAAAACTAAACAGCTGACTATTTCAAGCAGATGGTAGGGCATATGAAGGCAGGGTTCAAACCTGAAACATTTGAAGAAATTTATGGTTCAGTAGGACTGGAGGTCAGGGCTGGAGAGGGGAGAAGTGGGTTGTCAAAAAATGAGTCTAGGAAGGAAGGCAGGTACCAGGACATGTACAGCCTTGTGAAAGAAATCAAGAAATCCGATTCCTAGGCCAGGAAATTAAACATAAGTGAATGATAAATGCTTGGAGACGGAAGTGAGAGGGAATAATAAAGTTCACATTTCTGACTTTGATTACTAGTAGATCTGTACCACTCATGGTAACAAGTAAGCCAAGAATACGGTCAGTGTGGAACACACCCCAAGTGTGAAATGCCTGTAGGACATCAAAGTGCAGATGTCCAGGAGGCAGTCTGGTACTTGAGAGAGGAATGGGCTAGAGATGTGAGTGTGTCAGAGTTATCAGCACATAAAGAACAGGCTGTGAAAGTGGATGCAGCTGTCCAGTGAAAAGACGCACACTGGGCAACCGGGTCTAGAACAGAACTCGGAGGAATACCAACATTCAAGAGACAGGCAGTGGAGAAATGTCTAAAATAGACACCAAGACGGTGTAACAGTGAATGAATGGAAGCCAAGAAGAGTATTTTAAGGAGGGAGGGAGCTGTATACAATGGAATAAAAAAAATAAAAAGCTTGTCATTTGTGATGGCAAATACCATATGAGCTCACTTATAATGTGGAATCTAAAAAACAAAACAAAAACAGACTTCTATATACCTGAATCTAACACAATATTGTGTATCAAGTATACACCAATAAAAATTAAAACAAAAAATTAACCAATAATAATAAAAAAATAAAACAGACTCACAGATAAACAGGTGGTTAACAGAGGGGAGGGGTGTGAGGTGGGATAAACAAGTAAAGGGGATTAAGAGGCACGAACCCATTAGAAAATAAAGAGGTCATAGGAATGTAATATGCAGCATAAGAAATATGATCAACAACACTGTAATAACTTTGTGTGGTGACAGATGGTTACTTACTGTAGTGATCAGACCACAATGTTTGCAGATGTCAAATCATTATGCAGCGAACCTGAAGCTAACATAATATTGCACAGTAACTACATTTAAATTTTTAAAAAGGAAGAAATCAGTGGTTTCAAATAATGCTAAGCAGTCTAACAAGAAAAGGGCTTTGGTTCACCAGATTTAGCTACAAGGAAGTTACAAGTGACCTAGGCTCCAATCTGTTCTTTGGGGCTAGGGTGGGGAGGCCTGGAAGTCAGACTGTAGTGGGCTAAGGAGTCAATAAGTGAGCAAGCAAAGATGAGTAGGTACAGACAACTCCTTTCAGAGATCTGCCTGAAAGAGAGAAGGGGAAGTTAAGGTGGTGGCTGAATGGAATAATGGCTATCAGGGAAGAGATTTAAGATGGCAGAAATGAAATAAAGATCATTAAGCTACCTCCATTTTACCTACTTGGCATAATGCTTAAAAAATGGGACATTAACAATAATTTCATGAATAACAACAGCCAAAAAACACAAAACTCTTTTCTTTTTTTGAAAGTAGGCTGTAAAGAAAATTAAATATTCTGATTAGAATTAAAATATTTAAAATCTAATCAATTTTTAAAATCTAATTTTTTCAAATCCAACTAGGAAATAAAACTTCACATATTAAATTCCAATGTTAAAGAAACAAATCACTGCCAACCAATTTTAGTTCTGTCCAAGATACTTTTTATATCACTAAATATAAAAACCAGATTATTCTTCTATACCTAGCTCCAGGATGATTTGTTGAAGATTGGTTCTGCATTAGTAATTTTCTTTTTTCTTTGTCCAGTTCTGCCAAGATTGCAACTCTATTTTTGTTTTGAAAACCTAAAATAAGAGAGGGGGTGGGGAATGAGAAAGAAAGAAAACAGATTAGAGCTATTTTATAAGTCTAGGCTACCTAGAAATCCAGAAAGCAAAATTTTATTCTCTAACATGATAATGAACTACTAGTAAGCAGTTTTCCCTGTCTCTCTATTGCCTGTTTTCAACCAACTGTAACAGCATTATATGCAGATAAAAGCAAAGTATAATACTGACTGAGGACTTTTAAGACTTAGTTCTACAGAATTTTAATCACCAAAGATGGCTAACAGCATCTGTTTCTTAAATCTCTGTGGCCCCAGATTCTGCAGGGACCAGTCTCCATCTTGCTCAGTCAATCTCTGAAGTGGAGATTTTCTTAGTTCTCAGTTTTAGGAGTCTTTATGAATGCCTCTTTCATGGAAGTGGAAAGCATGAAAAGTACTAGATATACTCAGGTCAAAACAGTATTTCTTTTTCTCAACTGCTTTCATTCAGAAATGACACACACAGCCTTTCAAGGAACAAGTCAAAGAATTGCAACTGACTAGCAAACAGTTCTGGGAGAGAAATAGAACATAACTGAAAGGGAAAGGCTACGGTCAGGTCTATTAGGCTCTTATTTTCTGATCTTGTCTGATGTCCAAAAATTGTACTTCCTTCTTGAGTTTTCAAAAATAATTTATATGTCAGTTTTTGCACAAAACATTTACTATATTATAGACATATATAGTCAACAGAACTTAAGTAACAATAATAGCTTATTTCAAATTTGAAACTTAAGGCAAAAAACTAGGTAGTCTATTTGTTACGTGAAGTGTGTTATGCTTAATCGCTCAGTTATGTCTGGCTCTTTGCGACCATATGAACTATAGCCCTCCAGGCTCTTCTGTCTGTGGGATTTTTCAGGCCGGATTACTGGAGCAGGTTGCCATTTCCTCCTCCAGGGGATCTTCCCAATCCAGGGATTGAACCTGAGTCTCCTACATTGGCAGGCAGATTCTTTACCACTGAGCCACCCGGGAAGGTGTGTTATGTGAAGTAGTTAAGTATAATTTTCTAAAGCAGGATTCTCCCACTGTCAAGGTTTGCACAAACTTAACTCAAAGGCATAGATATATAAAAGTTAACTTCTATTACAATCACTACATGAACTGTTTTTTAACACAAACTATCTCTTGCCATAATTCAGCATTTTACTTTTATGTTATTTTACATGTATTTTAAAGTTAAAGGTAACTTTTACATTCTTAGAAGCATGAAGGTAATAAAACATATCTCATGTACAGTAGGAAGTACTTACTATTTCTTTATAACTAAACTTTTTCCTAGTAAAATTATTTTATAATATGCAGCACACTCTAAAAGTTCCACTTTTAGAACTATAACTCTGTCTCCATTCACAATCATATGTACTTTCATTTCCACATTCATTTATAAAAACATTTTAATACTACACATTTCTGTGTCACTAAAAATATTCTGGAGTAACTAGCATTACATCAAATTGCACTTAAACCCTAACAGATAATAATTCACTTTGTGTGAATAGTTCTATGACACTTAAACAAGGACTAATAGGAAATCTTTTTATTGAAAAAAATCTAAAACTAAAGAATGAAAATTACTGTTTGATAAGTGGGATTATGGATAATCTACTTTCCAATTACAGTTATTATACTGCTTTCATAACAATGATTATTTTTAAGGATATTTTAAAAATTCAAATTCTTTCAAGTAGTTATCTTACAAGCTATATACTCTTCACAACTCTACAGTAAATCAAACTACATCATCCTAAGAGAGCTGTTCAGGGGAGGCCCCCTGGTGGCCCACTGTCAGCACTGCGCACTCTGGCCGCCGTGGCCGCCGCCCGACCCCTGATCGGGTAACTGAGACCCTGCAAGCTGCTCAGGGTGTCCCGGCCTCAAAAACCAACCAGCTGTTTAGTCCTGGAGGAGTCCATTCCTCCAGTTAGTTTATTGGTTTACTAATAAACCATTAGTTTAACATGTTTTAAGTTATTTATTGTGTATAAATGACATACATACAGGCACTAAGGCAGATGCTAAGAATGTAATGATGTGTCACAACTTGACTTCATTCTAGCTCTCATGGTTCTTAAAACATTCCAGTGAAGATAGAGATTATCAAATAATGACACAGATGAATGTATAACTGGAGTCTAAGATGAGCAGTCTGAAATAAAGAAATAGAGTTCTACAAGCATGTACAACAATCACTCTAGGACTCAATGTTGAGTCAGCCTGACTGAGACTGGAAGGAGGGGAGCAGTGTCACAGCAGTCTCCCCCAGAAGGAATGCTTGAGCTGAACTGTGAGATTAATTCATTTACTTAGGGATGGAGGGACAAAATAACCCCGCCCCTGGTAGAAAGATCACGGAAGCTACAAGGTTGAGAACAGACTAGATAAGAGGAAAAGAGCCAGCAGAACAAGCTAGAGATGAGAGGTTGTTTATGGCCAGAGAGGTGAACAGACATGACACACCCAAGAGCTTTTTAGGTGGTTAAACCCACCGGACAATGAGAGAATCAACATGAAGTAAGGAATAAGGAATAAGGTGTCAGGGATGATTCTGAGGTTTCTGGCTCATGTAGTTAAATGGTACATTATTTCTATTGCTGCTGTTAAAAAAAAATGACGACAAACTTAATGGCTTAAAGCAACAAGAATCTATTCTCTTTCCGTTCTACAGGTCAGTAATCTCACTGGGCTAAAATCAAGAGCTGCAATTCGTTTCTGGACGCTCTAAGAGAGAATTTCCCTGCCTTTCTCCATCAGACACGATGAGTTCCATCAGAACTCAGACCTGCCTGAGTTCCCTGGCTTGTGGTCCCCTTTCTCCCACTGCAAAGTCAACAATATTGCACCCTCTAACCCTTCTTCTGTGGTCATTTCTCTCTGACACAGCCAGGGAAAAGCTCCCTGCTTTTAAAGACTCAAGTGACTAAAATAGACCCACCTGGATAATCTAGGATAACCTTTCCATCTCAAGGCCCTTAACCTTAATTAACCACAGGGGCAAAATTCTGTCTGCCATGTAAGGTAACAAGTCACAGGTCCCGGGGGTTATGATGTGGGTGTTTTTTGGTGTGTGTGTGGGTGTGGGTGTGATGTGGGTGTTTTTTGGTGTGTGTGTGGGTGTGGGTGTGATGTGGGTGTTTTTTGGTGTGTGTGTGTGTGTATGTGTATGTTCAGTCATGTTCAACTCTTTGCGACCCCATGGACTGTAGCCCGCCAGGCTCCTCTGTCCATGGAATTTTCCAGGCAAGAATATTGGAGCAAGTTGCCAATTTTTTGGAGGGTAGGCAGGCAGAATTATTCTGCCTCCTTAATGATACATAAAATGTATTCAGTGGTTCAAGCTTATACTAATTCAGGAGAGACTGCCTGAGTCTAGATCTTGGCAGAATAAAAAATATAACATTATTAACATGAATTAGTTAGTAGCAGTATCTGGTCTTCTAGATAGCTAGTTAATGGCAAACACTTCCTATAACTTGCAAGATTAAAAATTATTCAACTCTTTAAAAAAATTATTCAACTTTTAGCCACCTTTTAGAATTTACTGAAAACAGATCAAGGAAAAGAATAAGCCCTGATGTCTGCTCAGGTGATCTCCCTGTGTTCAAGTTCTTTCTCTCTGAGACCCCAAGCACTTACCCTTTTAAGCTACTGCCTCTTTTTCTATCCATTGAGGTTCCTTGTCTTCATCAGTGGCTAAATAAGATGATGAAATCTCTTCTGCTTGAATCACCCTTTCCTCCTCACTCATTTTCCTTTTCCTCTTACAGATAAACTCATTTCCCTGAGCTTATTTATAATAAATAGTTTTAGTATTTTTACATTTTATATTTTATTTTAGAGTTCATAGTAAGGATTTTCTGCTTAATAACAGATGCATAAGAGATACAAAAATAAAAATGAGATCTTTTGCCCCTAGTCTAGAGCTCCCAATTTTTCTTGGATGCTATAATTAGAGTGTTCTAACCCACAGCAAAAGTGCAGTGTGGGAAACAATCAACAGGGAACTTGGGCACAGATTCAATTTGGGTTCTCATCTCAGTACTACCAGTTACTATTTAATATTGGGAAAATTACCTCACTATGCAGGATCGATGGGCATAACAATGACAACTTTGAAGGATGGTTACATGAAATATAGTAAATATAAATAAAATACCTAGCATACTGTCTGCCACGTGGTTCAGTTCAGTTCACTCAGTCATGTCCAACTCTTTGCGACCCCATGAACTGCAGCACGCCAGGCCTCCCTGTCCATCACCAACTCCTGGAGTCCACCCAAACCCATGTCCATTGTGTCGGTGATGCCATCCAACCATCTCATCCTCTGTCGTCCCCTTCTCCTCATGCCCTCAATCTTTCCCAGTGTCAGGGTCTTTTCAAATGAGTCAGCTCTTCACATCAGGTGGCCAAAGTATTAAAGAGTTTCAGCTTCAACACCAGTCCTTCCAATGCTTACTAAATACTAGCTATTACTTTTATTATCACTTAGTGTTCTCTATCATTTCGATTGTTAACCTCACTAGATTCTTAAAAAAAAATTTTTTTTCATTTATTTATTTGGTTGTGCTGAGCCTTAGTTGAGGCATGTGGGATCTAGTTCCCTGACCAGGGATCGAACCTGGGCCCCCTGCATTGGGAGCCCAGAGTTTTAGCCACTGGACTACCAGGGAAGTCTCCTCACTAGATTCTTGTCAGCCCCATTCTGACAATTCTCTTTCAGTAAACAGGTTTCTATTACAAAGGGTACAACTGATTAGTATAGCTTTCTAGGTTACACTCACATGACTGGCCTCCCAGGTCAGTCTGAATGGACCTGGGGATCACAAGCTCTCTTTTACTATACAAACAATCTCACTCTAGATCACATAACACTCTGCCTCAATTCAGTTTCATTCCTATTTGAACCTGGGCCTATAGATCAATTCCAGCATCAGAAAACTACTGTAGTGCCTTTGCCTTGGCAATAAAAAATGAGACAAAAAGAAATCTAGCTTTATTTACTTAAAAATCTAGCTTTAAAAAACCAACTCCAAATTGTGTCTTTGCAGACATGTAATAATAAACATATCTGTTACTAAAAAAAAAATTGTGTCTTTGCATCCACACACTCATCTTTAAGAAAGGTACAAATACAAGAATTTTAAGGTGATTTTTATGCATCACTAGGAAAAATTCTTAATTGAGAGGTAGCATACCTTACTACAAGCCTGAAGGGTAAATTTGCTTTCCTTCTGGACCATAGATGGTTTAGGTACTTGGGTCTGAGGTCACCAAGACACCTCCCAGGAGCTATGCTACTCCAGTCCTATACAGCATCCTGAAATCACAGCTAAGAACATCCAAAGAGGCCCCAAATCAATAGTTCCCATCACTGGATTGCAGGAATTACAGTTATTACTCGAAGCATTATGAGATAACTATAAAAGAATTAAAAGAACTAGGATGTTACTTAGTTTTTCACCAGGTTTCTCTGTGTAGCTGAAATCAGGTTAGACCAATCTCCCAACTGCCAACACATGATCACAGGACTCTGATATTTACCAGTCATGAGAGCCTCTTTCCACAGGAATGGTACCTTGGCCAAATTCCAGTTTGACAATCTGCCTCTACATATTAAATTCTCAAAATGTTACTTATCAATCAAATAATTATTATGAACCCATCAAATGTTCCACACTATGATGAATGCTAAGGTGAAATGAGAGACTTCAGTAACTGTCTGCCAAGAGCTTGTGAAATTGAGCAATTCAGATTGCTACTATAGTATGATAAACTGCTAGATCTAAAAGATCGCCCATCCCCTACAGTAGAGACATTAACAAATCACACCACACAGATGAAGATTTTCATAAAAGTCATTATTCTTTCAGTTATTATTGTAAGATAATTATGGAACTTTGTCTTCAATCTTTATAATAAGTAGTTCCAATACACATAAACAGTACAGAAGTAATTTAACATAAAGAGTAAAATGCGGTAGCTCCAAATAAATAGTTTATTTTCCCTGAGAGTCTTGGAGTCTACAGAACATGATATGGACTCCCTCTGCTGGTGTCTAATAGCAGCAGCTCATGACACCAAAAAAATCACTGACAAAAGAGCAACAAAAGTCAAAGAACTAATCTAAATTTGTTTCTGTCTAGGGGATGTTTCATAGTGGATTTGACTATGGATCAATCAAAGGCAACAGTAAAAATGATTTTGCTTTATTCCAACTGCTTAAAAAAATTATAAATCTCGAATATCTGTGCTATTACAACAGAAGGATAAAAATATATATTTTGTTTTCATTTGGACTTCATGGTGTGACTTTGAGAAGCATATTTTCTCTCCAAAATGCATTTCTCTTAGTTTCATTTTGGTTCAAATTTTAATCTGAATCCCTATAACCTGTTGAAAAGAAGAGGTCAGAGACCACAGGGGAATGCTGACCTGTAATGAGTCCACAGAACACACAAGTCACTCTTAGACATTTGAGAGAACAGAACTGTATTAGCTGGTTATACCCAGTAAAGCTGTCACCACAGCTAGTTTTTTACAATACCACACTTCTGGAAAGGGCTTCCCAGGTGGCTTGGTGGTAAAGAATCTGCCTGCCAAGGCAGAAGACTCAGATTCAATCCTGGGAAGCATTCCCTGGAGAAGGAAATGGGAACTCACTCCAGTATTCTTGCCTAGAAAACCCCATGAACAGAAGAGCCTGGCAGGCTGAAGTCCATGGGGTCACAAAGTGTTGGACGCAACTTAGCAACTAAAACTTTCACACCCAGGATGGATTTTCTAATTCCAAGTACCCTTTGAGGAACTGCCCCATTTTACTGCCTTGTGTAAAAATAAAGACTATTGTTTAAGATTAAAAAAAAAAAGTGAGCAAGATTTCAGCCACTGTAGCCCAACGTAAAGGAGACAAGAGTTTGTTTGGAGTATGAGTTGAGCCAAGCCATCTGATAGAACAAAAATCACATTTCAGAGGAATATAACAGAATCCACGGACTCTGTAATGTATTAGTCATAGTACCCAGGATTTCATAACAAATCACTTAGTAAGAAACTTGGGCTTCCCTTGTGGCTCAGCTGGTAAAGTATCCACCTGCAATGTGGGAGACCTGGGTTCGATCCCTGGGTTGGGAAGGTCCCCTGGAGATGGGAAAAGCTACCCATTCCAGTATTCTGGCCTAGAGAATTCCATGGACTGTACAGTCTATGGGGTCACAAAAAGTCGGACATGACTGAGCGACTTTGACTTACAGTACGAAAAAGAAAAATGTGACCCATACTCAAAAAAAAAAAAAAAATGCAGTCAACAGAAACCAACTCCAAAGTGATTGATTTAGGTGATGTAATTAGCAGTGACACAGAACCTGTATCTAGACTCTTAAAAAAAAACCCGATAATAAAAATAACCCAATTTTTAAAAAAATGAGCAAAAGGAAGTCTGACCAAACACTTAACAAAGATTTGCGATGGCCAATAAGCACATTATAAAGTGCCCAACATTTGTCATCAGGGAAATGAAAGCTAATACCACAATGAGATGTCACTTTACACCCTCTAAAATGGCTAAAATTGAAAAGACCAACAGTGCTCTATATGGAGCAACTAGAATTATCACACTTTACTAGAGGGAATGTAAAGTACACTCCACTCCTAGCTATTTATCCAAATATCTGCAAAAAGACTGACAAATATTCGAAGCAGCTTTATTCACAATGACCCAAACTGATAGAACCCCAAAGTCTCCAAAAAGGAAAATGAATAAGGAAACTGTGGTAAATTCATGCAATGGAATACTAGTCTGCAATAAAAAAGAATGAACAATTGATACATGGCACAACATGGATGATTCTCACAGACAGTATAGTGAGTGTGAGCTGGACACAAACATGTTTATATGACGTTTAAAATGAAACATGACCAAGATTAATTTAAAAATAAGATCTGTCAAATGGACACTTAATTTTGGTATGGAGAGGAAAAGGGAAGTTTGTTTCAATTTTTCAAGTAGGTTTATAAATCTGTAATTTTCACTTACAAGGTGGAACTGAATACTTTCTGGAGATTAAACTTTGCTTTTGAAAACTTACTTTTAAACTAAACAAAAACTCCTTACTTGGGATGTATCTAACTTGATTTGCTTTAGGGAGCTCTTAATACAGATGAAATGTGTATGGAAAGTTTTTCAAGCAAATGAAAATAAAGGCATGGATATGGCCCAATGACAATATTAACTTCTTTAAAAGTGGTTCTGATCTCAAGTAAGAAAGTAAGAGAAGAAATGTCAGAGGAGGACCTAAGGTTTACAATGTAAGCAATATTAACACAGATTAAAATACAGGATTTAGATATTCAACCTGGATTTAGGAAAGACAGAAAAACCAGAGATCAATTGCCAACATCTGCTGGATCATTTAAAAAGCAAGAGAGTCCCATAAAAACATCTACTTCTGCTTCATTGACTATGCCAAAGCCTTTGACTGTGTGGACCACATCAAACTCTGGAAAATTCTTACAGAGATGGGAATACCAGACCACCTAACCGGAGAAATCGATACAGGTCAAGAAGCCAACAGTTAGAACTGGACATGGAACAACAGACTGGTTCCAAATTGGGAAAGCAGTATGTCAAGGCTTTATATTGTCACTCTGCTTATTTAACTTATATGCAGAGTATAGCATGAGAAATGCTGGACTGGATGAAGCACAAGCTGGAATCAAGAGTGCCAGGAGAAGTGTCAATAACCTCAGATATGCAGATGACACCACCCTTATGGCAGAAAGAGAAGAAATAAAGAGCCTCTTGATGAAAGTGAAACAGGAGAGTGAAAATCTGATTTAAAACTCAACATTCAGAAAACTAAGATCGTGGCATCTGGTCCCATCACTTCATGGCAAATAGATGGGGAAACAGTGGAAACTGTGATAGACTTCATTTTTGGGGGCCCCAAAATCACTACAGATGGTGACTGCAGCCATGAACTGAAAAGACGTTTGTTCCTTGGAAGAAAAGTTATGACCAACCTAGATAGCATATTAAAAAGCAGAGACATTACTTTGCCAATAAAGGTCCATCTAGTCAAAGCTATGGTTTTTCCAGTAGTCATGTACAGATGTGAGAGTTGGACTATAAAGAAAGCTGAGCGCCAAAGTATTGATGCTTTTAAACTGTGGTGTCGGAGAAGACTCTTGAGAGTCCCTTGGACAGCAAGGAGATCCAACCAGTCCATCCTAAAGGAAATCAGAACTGAATAGTCATTGAAAGGACTGATGCTGAAGCTCCAGTACTTTGGCCACCTGAAGTGAAGAACTGACTCATTTGAAAAGACCCTGATGCTGGGAAAGATTGAAGGCAGGAGGAGAAGGGGACGACACAGGATGAGATGGTTGGATGGCATCACCGACTCGATGGACATGAGTTTGAGTAGACTCTGGGAGTTGGTGATGGACAGGGAGGCCTGGCGTGTTGTGGTTCATGGGGTCGCAGAGTCGGATACGACTGAGCAACTGAACTGACTGACGTATAAACAAAATGTTGGAATTGCTTCAAATATGAGATTTTACTTTGCTAGTCTTTTCTATTTGCAATTCATTTTTAATCCTGGCTACAATAATTGCCCTATGCTAAATTTTCTATCAAAATACTTTGAGGGGAAAAGTTCCTAGTAATAAAAGAAATTCCAGGATGCACTTACCTTGTCCTGAAGGGTTTGCTGCCATCTTCCTATTTTCTGTTTCAACTATGTTCAGGGGTAACTGGGCAGCACTTTACAAACACCTGTAAAAAATAATGTGTACATGCTTATCTTCATCTCTTCAGAAATATATGTCTGAAAGGCACACAACTTAAAGCAAACACCTCAAGTTAATTAGAGGGCTCAGTTGCTTCAGTCATGTTAGACTCTGTGACCTTAAAGCCTGCCAGGCTCCTGTGTCCATGGGATTTTCCAGACAAGAATACTGGAGTGGGTTGTCATTTCCTACTCCAGGAGATCTTCCTGACCCAGGGATGGAACCATCGTCTTTATGTCTCCCTCATTGTCAGATGGGTTCTTTACCTCTAGCACCACCTGGGAAGCCCACTTAATTAGAGAGTGAAAGTCAAATGTTTATTCTTGCAGATGTTGATACCAACAGTTAGCATTACTGTCTTTAATTACATCATTAGGTTATGTTTACCAAATACTACCAAATGTATCAACTAATCGATGCTATCAATGCGATTACAGGGCTAGGAAGCAAAAATCACTCAACTATAGTGCCTTTGGATTCATTTAAGATACCTGCCTAACAACTACTGTGTATACTGCTCAAGGCCTAAAAGGGAAACAAGCCGAATATTTGTCCAGTATATACTCTGTACTCTACACTAAGTAAGATGACTGAAATTAGCTATTTTATCTATCACCACTTTATAAATGGGGAGATTGTGCCCAAGGTGATGAAGTTAGTGCGAATGAGATTAGTTTTAAACTTCGTGCTTTTGAACTAGGCCTTGGATAGATCCCAAATGAGCAAGACCCTACTCTTGCTCTCATGAAATGTACAATCCAGTGGGAAAACACAGTCTCATTCAAGCAACCATACTAAAAAAAGTTTAGCACGCGCTTTTTACAAGGCGTAAACAACGCTCTGTGAGCAGAGACGAACTGCTTCTACTGGCGTGACAAGGTATGCCTTCTAACATGCGCACGAAAGGACAAGAGCTAGTAAACAAATGTCGGTTTTGAACAAAATAATGTTAGGTGTCTCCTGCGGCTTAAGTACAGAGCAGGCGAAACTGGGTTAGGAAGGGAGGAACAAGAGGGCCATCTTGTGATGGGGACGTCAAGCAGGGACGTGACAAGGTTGGACCAGCATCTCAGAAGGGTGCCTGGAGCGTGCGTGGAGGGCTGGCGCAGCGGCTGCGGCTGAGACCCAGGACAACACGGGGAGTGAGTGCTGGGAGGCAACGCTGACGGGGAAGCCACTGTCCTATGGCAAGGGACGGCGGCAGGTCAGCACCGGGGCCACACACCTCCATAACCGGTGTCGCCAGGCGACCCTACTCACCGCGAGGCGGAAGAGCCCAGGACCGCCTAGCCGTCAGGTCGCGTTCTCCAAGGGGGCGCGACCACTTAAAGACCCGCAACTCGAGCTCAACATACAACTCTACAACCTTCCGGCCCCCGCTGCTCTTCCGCCTCCCGATGACTTACCCACGATGGAGCGGAAGTCCCGCCTCCCGCCTGGACCCAACGGCCGCTCCTCACGGTGATTCGTACTTTAACAGCCAACCTCATGCATACGCCACTTCCTTTCGAAAGAGTGGCAGCCAGAGAGGCTCATGGAACTTGCAGGCCGGGGGCGGGGCCAGAAAGGGGCGGGGCGCGCAGGGACGTAGGGGCGGGGCAGAGACAGAATGGGTCCCTAGCACCGCAAGTAACTATTCCGTGCAGACCGCTGGGGGCAGAAAAGCCGCCATCCCAGCAAGTGTGAACCCACCTAGGTTGGGACTGAGGCGGAGCTGCGGTTGGCACGCGGAGAGCGAGCTTTAACAACCATCTTGGGGTTGCGCATCTTAATGTACACAAATCCCGGGGATACTTTTCTACTTTAATTAAACATATAAGCACTAAGCTTATAGATTCTCCAAGCCAGGCTTCAGCAATACGTGAACCGTGAATTTCCAGATGTTCAAGCTGGCTTTAGAAAAGGCAGAGGAACCAGAGATCAAATTGCCAACATCCGTTGGATCATTGAAAAAGCAAGAGAGTTCCAGAAAAACATCTACTTCTGCTTTATTGACTCTGCCAAAGCCTTTGACTGTGTGGATATAAACTGTGGAAAATTATGAAAGAGATGGGAATACCAGACCACCTGACCTGCCTCTTGAGAAACCTGTATGCAGGTCAGGAAGCAACAGTTAGAGCTTGGACATGGAACAACAGACTGGTTCCAAATAGGAAAAGGAGTCCCTCTGTATATTGTCACCCTGCTTATTTAACTTGTATGCAGAGTACATCATGAGAAACGCTGGACTGGAGGAAGCACAAGCTGGAATCAAGATTGCTGGGAGAAATATCAATAACCTCACATATGCAGATGCCACCACCCTTATGGTAGAAAGTGAAGAAGAACTAAAGAGCCTCCTGATGAAAGTGAAAGAGGCGAGTGAAAAAATTGGCTTAAGGCTCAATGTTCGGAAAACTAAGATCATGGCATCCCGTCCCATCACTTCATGGCAAATAAATGGGGAAACAGTGGAAACAGTGGCTGACTTTATTTTTCTGGGCTTCAAAATCACTGCAGATGGTGATTGCAGCCATGAAATTAAAAGACGCTTACTCCTTGGAAGGAAAGTTATGACCAACCTAGACAGCATATTAAAAAGCAGAGACATTACTTTGTCCACAAGGGTCCATCTAGTCAAGGCTATGGTTTTTCCAGTGGCCATGTATGGATGTGAGAGTTGGATTATAAAGAAGGCTGAGCGCCGAAGAATTGATGCTTTTGAACTGTGGTGTTGGAGAAGACTCTTGAGAGTCCCTTGGACTGAAAGGAGATCCAACCAGTCCATCCTAAAGGAGATCAGTCCTGGGTGTTCATTGGAAGGACTGATGTTGAAGCTGAAACTCCAATACTTTCGCCACCTGATGCGAAGGGTTGGCTCATTTGAAAAGACCCTGATGCTGGGAAAGATTGAGGGCAGGAGAGAAGGGGATGACAGAGGATGAGATGGTTGGATGGCATCACTGACTCAATGGACAGGGGTTTTGGTGGACTCTGGGTATTGGTGATGGACAGAGAGGCCTGGCGTGCTGCAGTTCATCAGGTCACAAAGTAAGACACGACTGAGCGACTGAACTGAAACTTGTAGAAATTTTTTACTGCTGTGCAATTGCAATAATGTGTATTTAAGAAGTGGATATACCACATCTCAGATCAAGAAGTCACTCCTTGTGGGATCACCTAATGCCAGCACAGTAGAGCTACATGTCTATCAACACGTTGGATATTCAGATCTGAAACCACAGTTTGAAAAAGGAAAATGTTGAATAAAGTTTGCAAAATGTAAACTCTTAAAAAAGAAAAAAAGATCTGTGTTTCACTGGACATCTTGGTCAATATGCCAGCTCAGTCGTGTCCGACTCTTTGCGACCCCATGGACTACATATGGCCCACCAGGCTCCTCTGTCCATGGGATTTTCCAAGCAAGAATACTGGAGTGGGTTGCCATTTCCTCCTCCAGGTGATCTTCTTGACTCAGTGATCAAATCTGCATCTCCTGAGTCTCCTGCGTTGGCCAGCAGATTCTTTACCACTGTGTCACCCATCTATCTAGTCAATAGTTCAGGTAAGTATATTGTTGTTGTAGTCTCACAGCTGTGTCCAATTCTTTGCAACCCCATGGACTGCAGCATGCCAGGCTTCCCTGTCCTTCACTATATCCTGGAGTTTACTCATACTCTTGTCCATTGAATTGATGATGCCATCCAACCATCTTGTCCTCTGTCGCCCCCTTCTGCTCCTCCCCTCAATCATTCTCAGCATCAAGTTCTTTCAATGAATTGGCTCTTTGCATCAGGTGGCCAAAGTATTAGAGCTTCAGTTTCAGCATCAATCCTTCTAATGAGTATTCAGGGTTAGTTTCCTTTAGTATTGACTGGTTTGATAAATATGTAAATCCTACATATCTACTAGTGGAAAGTCCAAGACAAAAGGAATGCGTGTGATAGACCTGGGGCTCTGTTACCTGATAAGGAAATTCCAAGTAACAGTCTGTGAGGTGCTTCCTCCTGAAGCCAGTATGATAACTTGTTGTTTAGTCACTAAGTTGTGTCCAACTCTTTTGTGACCTCACGGACTATAGCCCACCATTCTCCTCTGTCCATGGAATTTCCCAGGCAAGAATATTGGGGTGGGTTGCCATTTCCTTCTCCATCTTCCTGACTCAGGGATCAAACCCGCATCTCCTGCATTGGCAGAATTCTTAAGGGCTGGACCACCAGGGAAGTCCAAATTGATTGACTTTAAAGAGAAACTTTTCTTTTGCCACTGTTCTGTCCCTTTAATTAAATAGATTGAACCCGACTGTTTTCAACGGGCTCCGTAGAGGATTCACGATACTTCATTAAGCCCCTCTTGGGCCTGGCAGCCTGAGTGCAGTGTAGTGCTCTCATCTCCTCTAATGTGGTCACCTCTAAGGGACCAGGTTTCCAGTACATGCCAGTGTTCTCAAAATCCCCAGAAGAGTGCTAAGCAGGTACACCTGCTGATGGATCTTTAAACATAATGAAGTGGAAATGTGCCCTTCCATTTCATTTATTCAATAGAAGTTTAATAAAAATACAGGCTGAATGATGTGTCCTTTTCTATAGGATGCTCTTGAGTGTGTAGGCCAGAATCTCACTTTTGCTTGAAAAGCTGATCTAATCCTTTCGTCAAATAATGCTTTATGGACTCTCACTGTGTGTTGCTAGTATGCTCTTCAGCAGTATGGTTCTGTCAAAATTCAAGGCCTTTATTCTTCTTAAACTATTGAACTAGCACTATTAATTACTCCCCAAATTTGGTTCCATCTATAAATTTAACAAATTTTGCTAAAAGACTCATTTTAGATTGTTAATGATAAAATGCCAGCCCTATGATGAGGGACTGGGGGCAGGAGGAGAAGGGGATGACAGAGGATGAGATGGCTGGATGGCATCACCGACTCGATGGACATGAGTTTGAGTAAACTCCAGGAGNGTGGGCTGCCATCTATGGGGTCACACAGAGTCAGACACAGAGTGCGACTTAGCAGCAGCAGCAGTGTGTGTGTGTGTGTGTGTGTGTGTGTGTGTGTGCATACGCTCTCAGTCTTTCAGGCCCCATGGACTGTAGCCCTCCAAGCAAGAATACTGGAGTGGGTTACCATTTCCTCTTCCAGAGGATTTTCCTGACCTAAGGATAGGACCCACGTCTCTTGTGTCTCCTGCATTAGCAGGCAGATTCTTTACCCCTGGCACCACCTGGGAAGCCCCCCAAGGTCTTGTGGTCAGCATGTAATCCTGAATTCTGGAACCTATGAATTAAATGTTGCCACATGGGAAAAGGGTCTCTGCAGATGTGATTGATTAAGGGTACTGAGGTGGGGAGAGTATCCTGATTACCCAGGTGAGCCCTGAACACAATCACAAATGTCCTTATAAGAGAGAGAGGAAGGGAGAGTTGACACAGAAGAGAAGACTTGTGATCACGGAGGCAGAGACTGCGGCGATGAAGCCACAAACCAGCTAATTCCTGACAGCTCCCAGGAGCCAGAAGAAGTAAAAACATTCTCCCCTTCCTTAGCTTCTGCACGAACTGATTTTGGCCTTCTCATCTCCAACACGGGGAGAGGATAAATTTCTCTTGTTTACAGGCCCTGAGTCCGTGGTCATCTTTTATAGCTTCAACAGCAAAGTGATACATTGCTTTTCACTCAGAGCATGTGTGAGAGTACCTGAGAAACAAATGCTGGAAAGACTTTTTTGTCTGAGCTGCATTTTCATGAAATGCTCAGACTTACAAAAATATATAATAAGGAAATAGACACTGTGGAACTTACTTTACTGGCCTAAAAAAAAAAAAAAACATTTCAAGTACATTTGAATTCTTCCAGACACCCTTCCTCCACTATGTTCCTCTCGATCCATCTCTGAGGTAAGTCAGTCTCCTGGATTTGGTTGTCATTGCTCCAATACATATCTTTAAATTTTTGCTACATTGTATTCCTAAAATATATTCAACTGTTTAAAACTTTATAAAAATGTGAACATTCTATCTTGCTATCTATATGATATACATATGTATATGTGTATATATATTGTTTTGCAATTTACTTTTTTTGGTAATTATCTGAACTATTTCCTTGAATACTTTCTACATGCAAAGTAGCATATTGGGCAATGTGGATGATACTAGACAAATCAGACAGGAAAATTTTGCACCAACATTATCCTGTTAAAACAGCTATTACAGTATTTCCCCATGGTTTTAAAGGAAGGCTCCTACTCAGTAAGGTCAATCCAAAAAAATGCAGAAAGCTTCAAATAAGAGTTTATTGGGGGGTTTAAGAATTGCAATTCTGGAGACAGACTTGGGTAAAACCAGAAGAATGTTCTGGGGAAGAGAAAGTGTCAGGGGCTTTGAAGACAAAAGCCCTGACAGAAGAATACAAAGTACAGAGCCATGTACTCTGACAG